TTTGAAATGTTTGGTCCGATAATTGGAAAGAACGATCTTTTGTCGAGCCTTTTGGAGCAGAACGGTGCTTACGAGCTATCCAAGTAAATAGTTTGTGTATTGTATATCGTACATTATAGTTTGTAATTCGCGATACATGAAAAGAAATTTTTGATTTATTTTATTACTCGATTATACCTATATAGAGTGTCCCAAAATTCACACAAGATTTGAATTTTGCGCTATTTGTGTGGTAAAGTGTTATCAACGAAAAGAAAAGACAGCATGACAACTGACAGTTCAGGGTTATTAAAAATAGAGCACTACACGAAAGAACGAGTCTTCATTGTTGAGCAATATTTACAATTTTCAATTAAAAACATGTGTTTTCTATCAAAATTACTTCTTGCGTGAATTTTGGGACACCCAATATATCTTGTATCACATTATTATTGCAGGACAAATTCAGTTACTTTAATATTAATTTAATCTCTGGATTACAGTCGTTTCATGCAAAGATATCTTTCAATCTATCACAATTTCATTTCGGACAAAGTTTCGATATAATAGCTAGTAGATAAATACTGATACACAAGTGTACCTATATACATAGAAACAGACACATAGTTAATGTTGATCCATATCCCACCAATGGACGACAGTCAAATAAATATTTTATAATTTAACTTAATATGTCGAAGTCAATTTTATTAGTCAAAGTATCAAATAAATTGAATTTGTGAACGCTAAACAATATCATTGTTATTATCGTTCACTGATAAGATCACATTTGCAGGGTTTCAAATTCACGTTTTATCGATATAATAATAACGATAATAAACTCGATTATCGTTACTATTTTGTATGCTTTAACATTCAATTTTATAGCTTATTCACGCTTTCTTCTTTCACATCTGAAACAACATTAGGAGCAGAATGTATTTAAACATTCAAAATTCTTTTAATTCCTCGAGTGCGTGAATCAATAAATATTCGATTGATATCGGTTGTGAGAAAATTTTATATTATGAAAATATTGCACGTTAGAAAATTTTTTCGAGAAAATTTACGGCCAATGTATTTTTGACAGACAGATCATTTTTCGAATTATCTTCTTTAATTATACATTGGTTATTTATTTAATCTTAATTCTTATTATTCACTTTTATTTTGGTGTACCAAGTATCGCTAAATATTTAATCTTTTAGGTGATATTCTTATTGGTATGCACAATGAAATAGCAATTAGATAGCGATTCAGAATTTAATTAAGTTAGGACTTAATTAAGCGTTTAAGAATGTTTCCAATGTTTGATAAGATTTAGTAGAATAGCAGCAGCTATAATCGTAACAAGGTATCTTGTAGAATTACCTAACACAGGATTGTCGAGTACACCTGTGTTTAGTGGTAATTTAATGAGGTTAGCCATAAGAACGTAGTTTTAAATCATGCGAAGAAGATTACTATCTCCTTGAACTTTATACGTTGTTACATTTCTTTATTAGCATTCCTAATTGTTATATAAGTACAGACGTTGTCAAAAATTAATAAGACGACCTCCATTTTACTTTACAATTATTCCTAACATTCTTTATTTCTTTATTCTTTATTCGCTACATTCCTTTATTCATATTCCTAATTGTTACATAACTACAGATTGTATATTCGATTTTATTTTTCAAGAAGTGTCTTTTCCGATTTTATCATAATAATTACTTTCGATGTTGTCAAAAATTAGTAAAATGACCTCCATTTTATTTTACAATTATTCCTTTATATCTTATTTATTTACTTATTTTATATTATTTTCTTCGACGTTGTAGTTGCGCGGTTGTCAATATTCGTATGATACCAAATAAATCTAGTAGATCGGCTTAGCGTTAATCTCAGCGTCGAGTTCTTTTTCTTCCCGATATCTGCCACGTTTTATCGTGTACTTATTATATTTTGAAATTGTGTTCTACAAAAATATTTTCAAAAGCTCTTACGCAAACGATCTTGATTGAGGATGATGAAGGTATTTTATCAAGCGAATAATAGGTCGATAAAAGAGTGAAGAAATTTAAAGTATAAACTCGAAACAAGGGAGAAAAGCGAAGATATATATAGAGATTTGTAAAGATACAGGAAATTAAGAAAAATAGTAAATTTGTAAAATATTTAAAATGTTTATGTTAATTGATACGTAAGATTTAATTCGAAAGTTTAGTTATTTAAAAATGACTATTGACAATGATAATGATCTCTTTCTAATCAGCTATCTCTCTGATAAGGTTAATAAGTATGACAGAATTTTGTGGAATACGAGTTCGATCTTTCATAATTCTTTGATGAAGGACTTTTGGAAGCACGTTCATATCTATACTTCATTTTTATGATTTAATGCCATGTGTTATCTTGTGCTGACATATTGGCACACCTCTTACTTTCGTTATCAGTAACCCATTATAATGAAACATTTAAAAATACAAATGAAAAAGTATATAAATTTTCACTCAGGCATTATGCTTATACTATTTTCTGTGCTGTAAAGTATTGTACAGTGAGAACATATGTGAAATTTTATGTAACTTATAAAAATTATTATAGTATTGCAGATATAACTAAAAAATAGTATTTAACGGGTCTAATTAAAATAATTATTAATTATAATTACAACTCTAATTAAAAAAATAATTAAAAATAGTCTTGAACGGGATAAAGAAAATTATACTATTTTTGATATTCCAAATTAACTACTGAATTATGCAATAACAAAACATATAAAGATTTATATAGAGAAAAATAACTGAGGGTAATATAAACAAAACTAGAAGCTAGTTTCTAATAATTTTAAGTAAAGAAAAATTGTACTATTTTCAATTTTGTAAATTAAATATCGAATTATGTAGTTGGTGAGATACACGAAACTTTGTGTAAAGAAGAAAGACAAACATGGCTAAAAACTAGGTTTCAACAGCTTAAAGTATAAAGAAAATGGAGATCTCAGATGTAACATATGTAACTTATTGTAAAATAAGTTACAATATAACATTATTATTTTCTGTATTGAGAAACGATTAATTCTTTCTCTTCTCATTCGCATTTTTACGTCCGAATGATCGCCATGTATCATTATATGCAACTGATAGTGTACTAATGATCTCTGTATTGTCAACACTTCTATCTCCTTATAACTATAAAAATTACACATTTTAAGTTCGTCAGAAACATTATAGAAATTGCTATAAACAGAAGAAAACGTATGATTACGTTACTTTTTGATCAGATTTTTGCAACTAATTATGTCACGCAAATAATTAATTTAGTGATCATGAAGTTAACGACATTTGTTATTTAAAATTCCTTTTCTTAAGGATTTATCTGCGTCATTAAATCATATTTATGGGCAATTTATAGCGAATTTTATCATTTCGTCTCGTAATGTACTCTAACTGTAAACTTTCTCTCGTTTAACTCTCTTTAGGAAGTTATTGGTTCGCCTTTAGAAACTCTTGCTTTTATACGTGTACACGTAACGTAATTAGGTTTTAACGAAGCCATGCTTAAGAGTGCTCCTTTCTATGCATTACAGTCAATTTTTTGTAATCCTTAATTTTATGGTTTGTATACTCGTGTGTTTCTTGTACTCTTGTATACACGCTGTGTTTAATTTAATAATATGTATAAGAAATTCTCATAAAAATGAAAACGATATTTCACGTGTACTAGCGTACTATAATTGCACTACACAGTGTATATTTTCATGAAAATTGAAATATTTGTCATGTATTAGTCTAACACAGGCTAGCCTGTTGATTAATTGAAATGCTTACGAATTTCGATGAGTTTGAAATATGTTGTAAATTGCAACATTGCGAGTAACTTCTTTTTATGTAAACAGCAATCTTAGTTTTCGAGATATTAGTAAAAGTCTTTTAGTAGTAATACTCTTTACTGTAGTACTAAAAAGTTTTTGCTAATATCGTACCAGTAGTAACGTTGAATTCTACTTATACAGCGATAATTAATTTCTCCTGTAACATTGAATTAGTATATGTACATTCGTGAGGTAATCCCAGACACAGATAGTTTGCGTAGTTAAATCCATCAAGTAGCAACGCGTCTACCTCGGGGAAGCACACATATGGACAGAATTTAATGTAATAATATCAAAAGCTTTTTAGTACCGTTATCTGAGATATTAAGGTTAATCGAATCTAACAGTATCTCGGTAATTATTAATTTTAAACCTCATGTCGCATAACACATTTTTTTATAGAGAATTTATTGCTTTATCTGAATTAGGAAAGGAATATTAGTCTGTCCATTTAAAAAATTGAAGATGACGTTCATATATTGATAAAAAAGAAAAATATAAAATCGATTAAAACACGTTCGTCTAGAAATTATGCAACATCTATTTGAAACATTTTTTGATACAACAAATAATTTTTGAGTTATCTGAAGTCATTTATAGTTAAGAAACTCATTCTGTATATACAGAATATATATACAGTATATATTTCTGCTATACAGTAGAAAAAAGCTGCCTAAAGTATTGGTTTTTGCAATGTAAACTCATACATAAAAATATTCTAACATTTACATGTGCTGTTCTTAACAGGTGCTATAACAAATATTATAGAGATTCATCTCATGTTGCTTATGACGTTCCTAAGAAGATTTCCTATTGAACTCACTAGCGCCACCATGACTCGTATCTCTGATGAATATATTATAAATATTAGATATCGTTGAATTATTTTTTAATTTTATCTGGAGATTTCCTACTAGTATATGTATGTACCACATAGTTCTAAACATTTCGATTTAACGTACATATTTCAATTGTTGAACATGGCAAGTGTAAATATTCGAATACTTTACGAGTGTACATGAAATTCGTGAAAATCTGCAAAGAACCAGTCAATTGTCAAATTAACATGATTGTACTTACAACGCAAATTTCCAAATTTCAAAAATCGCATCTTCCATTTCCCTTACAACTACATTTAAGTAATGGTCTTTTCTCGTTGCAGGACAAAACGTAACTCGCCTTCAGGATGGGGGCGATGTTCAGGAGCGAACAGATGGCTCTCTGCCAACTGTTCATTCAGCCAGAGGCAGCCTACCTTTCCGTCTCTGAGCTCGGTGAAACTGGTACGGTGCAGTTTCGTGATGTAAGTTTAATCATAACTGTAACCTTTGTTTATATCCTATAGTACATACCGACAGCCTACGTGATGATTATGAAAAGGTGACGCTGACAGTAGCAAGACGTTGACCCTGTTACGCCTCGTTTAATATTTCGCCCAAAACAAACGTGATATCTTTCGAAGTCGGCCATGACTCGTGTTTGCAGTGCAATAACGTACGAACTATTTTATGCGCAACGAATTCGCGCATGACCTTCCAGTAACGCATCTCCGATGGTAAAGCAGATTGCTTTTTATCGATACAAATCAGGCGTTCGTGGAAGGTTCGAATCGAGGAATCGAGGAACCGAGGACCTGTTACCGACCGAGTTTAATTTCAGGAAAATGAAACGAGAACTCGTGTGTGCACGAGGGCTTTTTAATGGTATTCTTTACTTACTGTCAATTCGTTCGTAGCTCAACGGAAATGTGAATTATTTTCAACGAAAGTTCGTCAACGAGGTGCGTCGGTGCGATGAGATGGAAAGGAAGCTTCGATACATCGAGGCTGAAGTGAAGAAGGACGGCGTACCGATCGTGGACAACCTCGCGGAACTACCACGGGCACCAAACCCACGTATGATCATAGATCTCGAGGTAAGATATTTTTGAGATATTTTCGATGATAAATTCCCCCTTTTGCCTTGCTATTTTACGCTCTCGATCATTTAATACGTTTGTCGCTAAATGACCACTGACGCACATTATATAAAATATAATTGTGTAAAATTTAATAATATAAATAATATTATAAAAAGATATATTTATATCATAAAGAAAATTAGAGGAAAAGAGATGAGTTTCGTGACATATTTTTATTTTACTATGCACTGTTCGATATGTTGAAAATAGTAAAATAAATGATGAAATGTCACTAAAAGAAATCTAAATTATTTAAGGAATATCTACCGAATCTTTAAGTCGCTCGAATAATTTCGCCGAAGATTATGAGGATGTCTTAAATCGCATGTTTTGTTTGGACATATTAAATGTTTCGATTTTAAATGAACTATAAAAATAATTACAACGCAACTGTACATTCAATTTAACGATTCTATCTTTTTCTATTTTGCAAAGATAGTTCCACATTATTGTAAAATAAATAAACATGATACAAAATAAATTATACTCATTTTTCATTTATTTGTAATACGATTCGACCCTTTGTTTAGATTTTTTACTTACAATTAGTCCACTTTCGTAGTTATCACCACGATTATGTACTGTAATATACAGAATGAGTTGGAATTTGTAGTACAACCGATTCTACGTGAAAAAAACAAATCGAAAATGCAAAATAAAATTTTTTCATTCAAAACTTTGTTGTCAAGAAAATCGACTTTGAATACTCACCGAATACGCGTGCTCTTAACTTTGACTAATTATAAGATGGAGAACTATCAGTATACCAGTGTACTCGGTGAATATTCAGTGTCCATTTTCTCGACAACGAAACTTCGAATGAAAAAATTTTATTCTGTATTTTCGATTTGTTTTTTCACGTAGAATCACCCTCTACTCGATTGTACAACGAATTCCGGCCCACCCCGTATATTAATCTATTGAATATTAATTCTATAAAAATACGTGAATTCGAAATCTTTTTTTTTAATTTTGCTACCAACATTTCGAATAATCCAATGTACGGTATGGTCACAACGCTTTTAATAGTATTAGTATTTTAATAGTATAGTATTTTAATATTATTTAATTTAATTAAGTAATTACTTTATTGTACTCTGTTATAGGCCCGTCTCGAGGAAACGGAGAACGACATACTAGAGCTGAGCCAAAACGCAGTGAACCTGAAGAGTAACTATCTAGAGTTGACGGAATTACGGCATGTCCTCGAGAAGACCCAAATATTTTTCACGGAGGTAGCTAAAGTAGTTCAGCAGCTTTTGCTCATAGCGTCGTCCTCCTTCGTGTAATCGATGTTACCATTCTGTCGAAGAATCAAGATTCGTATCTTCTTCTATATCAACAGGAAGAGGCCAATGACTCGATCACGAGGACCCTAATTCACGAGGAACCACAGAATCCAAACTTGACGAGTACGGGGCGCCTTGAGTATGTTCCCTTATTAATGACATAACACATTAACCAAAAACATTAAGAAATGACGTGACACATATATTTTCTTAATGTATGATACGCTTCGCTTTAAATGCAAAGTTAAAATTTTGGAAAATAATGTACATACGTGTTCAATCATGCGATATTATAGTATTAATAATATTGTTTATAGTCGTGAAAAAATAATTTGGAAATTATGTTACCTAGCAAATGTTATGATTTATTATATGAATTATTAAAGATTGATTAATTTTATTTATTTATTTATTATTTTACTCGGAATTAATTGTAGAGGAAGAAACAGATATTAAAAATAGTACAGAATCATTTAGAATGAAGAAAGGAAAAAAAAAACGTTGCATTCCAAGAGGATTTGAATATTTTAAATTACTGTCGTCATATATTTCGAATCCTTAAATCGCTGTTTCCGCTTTTCGTATCCTTGCAACTACATCAACACGCTATTTTATATTCGTTCGACCGTCGCATTCATGCAAATCGAATTCAACTACGTTTAATAATCGATAATCAAATACGCAAATAGATGAACAATAATGGACGACGTTACATAACTATTCTTACACTGCAATAAAATATTTATTTCTCTAGTAAATTGAACTATAGCGAATAGCGAATTAAATGGTTTCTATGTGAAGTTTTTAATACGTTTCCATTCTCGTTCGTCTGATTTAGCATTCTCGTCATTATCAAGCTTCTATCCGCAAGTAGATTTTAATAACAGCAATTCGTTACACATTTGCCAATAACGCTGTTCAGCACGAATTTTAATTTGTAATATCCATTAGATGATTCTTGTAGAGTTTACTTCCCTGAACACAAATTCGTAATCGAAATTGCTTTATCACCCTGAGTTCCCGAAAATTGTGAAATTTTATAAGAAGGCACGATTTTTGACTAAAATGAAGTTTTGGAATTCTGTCGTCGAGCAACCTCCTTTAATGTCACATAGAAAATATAAAATAAAAAAATTGTCAGAGGATTTCATGTCAACTCTACAAAGTTTTTAGTCTCAGAATTCTGCCAGCGAGAAAACTCTTTTAATGTTATGTTCGTCTAATACAAAATTGCGAAATTGGCAGAAGGAGTCATGCCAATGCTGCGAAATTGGTATCTCTAGAATTCTTGGAAAATGACGGAAATTTCCAGGAATTCTGTCAACGTGAGAGCTTTGTCAACGTTATGTTTGTCTAGTAGAAAATCGCAAAATTGGCAGTGGGATTTATGCCAATATTGCGATACTTGTTGGCCCAGAATTCTTGGAAAATGACGCCAATTTCTTTGACTTCTGTCACTGTGCCATTTCCTTTAACGTTGGTTCATCTAATACAAATTCATATTAAGAATGATGTTAAAACAGTAACCTTAAATTACATTTATTTTTGTTCATTAGGTATAATGAGTCGCGAGAGTCAAACTTATTCAGAGTAGGTAATCATGAAAACAATAAATTAAACAAAAAAATGGTAATTTCTATACATTCTCTACCCTATTAATAACTATAACGAAGATTTGAGTTACTTTCTTACTTTTTATATAATACTTCTTTTTAGCCAAAAATCGTACCTTCTTATAAAAACTCACAATTTTCAGAAACTCAGGATGATAAAGCAATTTCGATTACGAATTCGTGTTTAGGGAAGTAAACTCTGTAAGAGTCACTTAAGAAATATTAAAAATTATGGAAAAAATTAAAACTTGTTGGACAATGGTATTATAGAAACAGATAGTCGCTTTATTATGAAATTCGTAATCCAATAATTAATCGTAATCTAGCAATAATGGTATATTTCTTTGGTGCGAAATGAAAATCTGCTTTATGCAACAATATGCCTTATATCATACAGTTTCGTATAATTCTTCAATTTAATTATAATTTTTACTTGTACTTTAGTTATAACAAAATTTTTGTTCATAGTGGTATAGTTGGACAGAACCTATGTATGTATTGCGAACGAACCTTAATTTATAAAAATTTAAAAAATAATACTTTAAAAATAGTTAAAGAAGAGATATATACAAAATAATATTTCTCAAAATCTTAATAAGAAAAAAAAAAAAAAGAATAGAAATGGAAAAGCTTTTTTATTTCAATGTCTTAAATATTTTTTAAAAGCTGAAGAAATGATATTTCACAAAAACTAGAGAGCAATATTTTATGTAATCAGAAGATATGATATCTTTCAAAAGCTGAAGAAATTATATTTTACAAAGATTAAAGAGTAATATTTTTCATAATCAGAAGAGACGATATTTTTTAAAGGCTAAATAAATGATAGTTTATCGAAGCTGAAGAAATTATATTTTATAATTTGAATAATTTATTACATATATATTATTTATTTTTATAATTATTGTTAATTAAATTTATTTATTATTAAAATATATTAATATATATCATATTATTAAATTATATTATAATTTATTCATCTGTTTCATTTATCCAAATTTTTCTTCCGCAGATTCGTTGCTGGGGTAATAAACCGAGAACGAGTGCCAGCTTTCGAGAGAATGCTGTGGCGAATATCCCGTGGTAACGTTTTCTTACGACAAGCTGAACTCGAGGAACCGCTAGAAGATCCAGCTACTGTTAGTTCATTTCTTATGTTCTTTCCTTTTGAAAAATCTCTTAATTTCTCCTGATCCAATTTATAGAAATACAGAATTGAAAATTTTTCGGCTAGCTGTATAGAATTTACCAATAGCAGGAATTTCTTTGTCCCAATATTAACTTAATTCTATTAACACTTTGACTGCCACGCACTTTTAATACATTCAAGGGGCCACGATAAAATTTTCATTATTCTTAGGACATAATAAATTATCAAATAATATGGCAAAAGAAAGAATGAAAAAATCATGCAAATCATTCATGTTTTCTATTCAAAATTCTCTATTCATTTACGTCGATCAAATTTTCAAAAAATGGTTATAATAAAACAAATATAAATTTAAAAAATTAGTATCGCCGAACACTGGTGATCACTATGGCAGTCAACGTGTTAATTTATTTCTATTGTGTCTGTTTTCATCATATTTGTATTTATCTCTAAAATCACATACGCAAGGATTCAAAGGATTTGGTAAGATTTTAATGTTAATATTTTGATTTTAACGATGGTAATGTTATCCATCGATCTTTGAGCGAGAAGTTTCTTTTCTTATTTATCAAACGTAGTATAATTATAATTCGGGAAAATTATATTTAATTTTTTTTCACCTAGTCATATTCACCTAGTTTATCAAATGTGTCATTGAAGTATGACAGTCATGGAAAAATCGTTTTACTTCTAGAGGCTTTGTAATTGTTTCATTATTCTTTTTTTCTTTAAAAAGATTGCTCATTTCGATGTTATTCGTTTTGTATCTTGAATCTTTCAATTTTTATCTTTGACACGTTATGTCGATAAGCCTGATTTATCTGAGAAGATCATTTTTAACTCGAGTTAATATCGATATTATTAAATGAAATCTTTTCATACGAGATTTTGTTTTTAAGTAAATCGAATATAAATATTCATTAAGCACACATGTATTCGATCGTTTTCATGGAAATCTCGAATGAAGTATCGATTAATATATTTATTTATAATTCCTTTCGTTTATTTATACTTGTAAATGTTAATAGTGACATTAATGCAGTAAATATAATAGGTGTTGTTTTTTTCATTTAATCACCTAATCATTATTTCAGTAATTTAAGCATTATAATTCGCGTTGATTTTATTTTGTACTTTCGAAAATTAGGATTAGGTTAATTTAATCAAATCTTCAAATCGGGGATCTATTATTATTTAATATATTACTAGTTCTTATGTGATCATTCTGTTCTAATTTTTAATTTTTTTTTCCTTTCTACTCGTTATCTCAAGCAGATGACATTTAAGTAATCTTTGCTCGCTCTTTTTATCATTTTTATTAATTAAGAAATAATATTGTGTGAGAATTGGTTGCGATACGAGCGTTATCGCCATTTTTCATCGCGTTCGTAAAAACGGAGAAGAAAGTCAGATAACAGGACTGATAGAAGTAAGTCGTGCCACAGTCAATGTTCGCAAACGTAAATACAAATACAAATAACAACTCGAAAACAATAATAACTTGGTTTTGCTCGTGTACACGATGAATTCTCAAGCTCGATTAGTCTCGAACACGTATTCTTCGTGTATGATTTATAATTGCGCACTTTTGGCTTAATTTTGCACAGTAGAACAATTTTTCTTTTAATTTTACCGAATTACTCCTTGTTTTGCATATTGAACTGTTTTGCAATGTATGAATTTTGTTTTATTCTATAAAAGAATAAGTAGAAAATATATTTTTATTTATGCATAAGGCTTTTGTTTAAATAATTTTGTTTTCTATTTTTTCTAAACTCGTGTAGTTTGTAAATGTGAGAATCTTTTAATAATCGCAGTGGTAATGTTTATATTAACTGTAAAATCTTGTTCATAATCGATCCGTGATTTCTTAATTAATTTTAAAAATTATCATTATTATCATCACTATGTAAATTATATGGAGACGTGAATATTTAAAACAAAATAGTTTGCCTTGTTATTTTATTACATGAGTAATATATTGCCCAAAATTTTTAATGATTCCATAAATTTTAATCGTTTTTTAAAGAACTTGATAAAAATATACTTCCGAGATGTAAATTTCCCGATTTATAAGAAAATCAGTATGATATTATGAAATCTATCGAAATTTTTCTTCTCTAAATTATGGCTATAAAGTTACACCTTTAATCACAAATAATTAAATTGAAAAAAATTGCCCATATAAAATGATTTAATTTCGTTCCAATCCCCATATACAGAGTGTCACAGCAACGGTAGTACAACTGGGAAGGGGGTGATTCTACGTAAAATAACAAATCGAAAATAAGGAATAGAATTTTTTCATTCGAAGCTTCCTTATCGAAAAAATCGATTTTGAATATTCACTAAGTACGCGTGCACCTAACTATGCCTTAGATGGATAAACCATTGATATATCAGTATTGGTGGTAGAACTGAGGAGAGGGTGATTCTATGTGAAAAAATAAATCGAAAATAAAGAATAAAATTTTTTCATGCAAAGCTTCATTATCGAGAAAATAGACGTTGAATATTCACTGAGTACACTGGTATATTGATGGTCCATCCGCCATAGCCAAAGTTAAGTGCACACGTACTCAGTGAATATTCAAAATCGATTTTCTCGAGAACGAAGCTTCAAATGAAAAAATTTGATTCTTCATTTTCAATTTGTTTTTTTTCACGTAGAATCACCTCCTGATTGTACTACCATTGCAGAGGCATACTACATGCAGTAATCAAAAAAAGAGAAAGAAATAGAAAGCCCAGTGTACTTATATCGTATTACAATTAGAATAAATAAATTTCCTTGCAACAATATTATCACCCCCATGGGAATCTCCATGAAGACAAGTCTCCAAGGCGTTTGTGACATAAAAGACAAGCGAGTTATCATAGTAGTCATACTACACCAAGCAGTTAATCTCTCATTCCAATACTAATTCTTTAAACGAATGAAATCTGGAATCGAACAATCATATTGCTTTATCGTAGTGTTAATAATATTAATAACGTTGTTCATATTGTAAATATTACTCTGTTCAGACCATCTTCAATGGCCCGTCCCTAGATATACGTAAGTCTTGCGGATTGTTTTAGGGCAATCAGATATTTAAAACGGTCTTCGTCGCGTTTTTCCAAGGAGAACAACTGAAGAGCCGCATCAAGAAAGTTTGCACTGGTTTCCATGCGTCTTTGTACCCCTGTCCCAATACCCATGCAGAGCGGGTAGACATGGTCAAAGGGGTTCGAACGCGGTTGGAAGACTTGATCTTGGTAAGTTCTGCATATTTATCAAAATCGTGTATTTGTCAAAATTGGAACCTTGCGAAAATGTAACATCGACCACGTAACTCGAAAAATACCAGAAAAATTGGTTAAAATTTTGGATGAATCTCATTTGTGAAGGGTATATGATAATTGCATGCCGCGATTATTATAGCGCGATTTCATACCTCAGGATTGGCGAGGATTCGTTTGTATCGAATTTAATGTTGTGTCTAAGTTTCGCAGTTGTGCTCGATACATGTATCGAATACTGTGCTCTCACGAGAAGAAGGTACAGCGTGTTTACATCCCCACTCCTGTTGCAGTCCACTGACACTGCTACGATTACAGGCAGCGATCGCTATTGGCCGAAAACGTTGACGAAGATCAACGGCGTAGTCTTTTAATAGAAACGTTAGCTACTAAAAAACGGAATAGTTAACATTTCCATTAGAAGACTGTGTCTATGCTGCCATTATTCTGTCTCACTCGTATCTCGCTAATCAATTTAAAATAGCAATTATTTTGACCCCTTTTAAGGTTATTGAATAGCAATGAAAGTATCAAAAGTCAAGTCAAAGATGCGAATCAAGATACCACTGTTCCTAGTCTAGAGAACCTGTTCCTAGTCTAGAGAACTTGAACAACATACAGGATGTCTCGAAAATTATAATACAACCGGCCATAATGATTCTATTAATAGTTTATATACATATATACAATTTGAAATATTATCACGTAATTTCGTTATTATTTTCGGGATTCTTTGACGGTTCTATCACTTAAGAAACTGATAACTCTTAGGAGCTAATGATCATGAATTCATTCTTCTCTTTCTTCGTTTCGTAGGTTTTAAATCAAACGCAGGACCATCGTCAACGAGTGTTGCACAACGTGGCTAAAGAATTGCCCAACTGGACGATCATGGTTCGAAAGATGAAGGCAATTTACCACACGATGAATCTGTTCAATATGGACGTGACCAAGAAGTGCCTTATAGGGGAATGTTGGGTACCTGTGGCAGATCTTCCTATTGTCAGGAACTGTCTCACTGAGGGATCGGTTAGTTCCCAAATCACATTTATTACTATGATAGTCAATTCCTTAATATAATATAATTAATATTCGTACACCTTATATATTTAAATTTAAACTATATCACAGCAATTTTTGGTGAAAATTTGACGTTTGAATAGATATTTCACGTTAAATAATATAAATTACAAATATGAAAAATTATTCTTCGATTTACGTTGCTTATTCTTCGGCTGTTCGACAATTTTAGTATTCTTTTATGGTATTTTTCCTTCTTTTATTTTTTGTCACACCCATGCAATTTTTTGCTTTCGTTGCGTTTTAAACATAATTACGTTTTGTTTTCTACAGCGCCTCTGTGGTAGTTCCATACCATCTTTCCACAACGTCATATACACGAACGAGAGCCCTCCGACGTTTAATAGGACGAACAAATTCACCAGGGGTTTCCAAAATTTGATCGACGCCTATGGGGTGGCGTCGTATCGTGAAGTCAATCCGGCCCTTTACACGATTATCACTTTCCCTTTCCTATTCAGCATCATGTTCGGCGATTCTGGACATGGTAAGCGAAAAATAGACTTCATACGATTAAAATACTTTCCGTTTCAAATATTTTTTGAATTTTCATATTTTGATATTTTATATAGCAGTTTATTAACGTATAGGGTGAGTGTTTATGTGGTGGGTGGATTATGTTATTTAATTAAATATCTTCATGATTTTAGTTGGTAATTTTTGAATTCTTTCTTATTTATACTCTTTTTATAATGGTTTATACGCATTATCTTTATCTTCGCGTAAATTAAGATGAAAGAGTACAGATATTTTAATAAAGGGAAATATGTATATATTAATGACTATATGTATGTGCATATCAATTATCTTTTTTATCGTATTAATAATAGTTATGGAAAATGTGCCAAAAATTTTTAGTAACTTCGACATCTAATTTCAAAATTTTAATCTACAAGAAATCATATATCGAGATAATATCAATTAATATTATCGATACTTAGCGAAATTTCTCCAAACGAATATCACATCGTCTAAATTATACATGGTAGCATAAAATATGTTCTTTATTTATTTTCTTTATTATTAATGCATTTATAAAATCCTTTTATTAATATATTTGGAATATTCTTTAAGGCGGTATTCTAATCTACAGATCAATTTTTTAGGTGCTATTTGGGATTTTTTTTAAGAACGATAAAGACATTATTGTATCGGGATTTGTAACATAGTTTTGACTATATTTTAGAAGTACAAGCTATTTTTTTCATGAAAAAATATTGAAAATTGTCGAAGCTACAGCTAGTTTAATAGTGTCCCTTCAATTGAACATACCTGCACGATTCCAGCTGTTCTTCTACTCCAAAATGGACAAACAAACATCCATTTTGTGTAATATGAACGTAATTATCGTTGGTACCAAAAGTGCATAAAAACATTGAAGAGAAAATTTTTGGAAGTACTTTAAAATTAGATTATCGATTTTTTGTGCTTTTTTCAACTGCAGTATGACAAAAAAAAATAGTTAAAAACATTAGATTTTTTAAATTTTGGTAGGGGCAAGAGGGATACATACGCGGAAGATATCCTCCAAATTTGATCGTAATCGGTCAACTAAAACTTGAGATATCATGAAAACCATTTGGAAAAATATGGTTTCGAGAAATATGAATATGTATGCGGGTTGCATGCTAATAACTTCATTAATTTTTCAAATCTATCAATCCACTGGTAGATATATTTTTAAAGACATATACTTTCAGAAAATAAAATTTAAAAAAATTGATATTTTGAAAGTTCTAGACTAGAATACCCACTTAACTGATATACTCTCTTCATCATTGCAATATTTGTAATATTCTTTTATTAATTATTAACTTTCTTTATTATTGACACTAAAATAATCGAAGGATTGCAATGAAGATATACACAATGACGTTCCTATTTAAATAAAAAATAATATTTACTCTCCCAAAAGTAATTAGTAAGTGATTAGTAGAAAGTAATAATTAATAAAATTATTAATAAAGTAATTGAATAACTGCAAAAATAAAATATCTTTACTTTCCTGATATATTTGGAACTTTCGTTTATAGTTCCTTTTTTGATCGATTTTCTGTTTAGGTTTAATTATGACCCTGTTCGCTGTATACATGCTCGTATTGGAGAAGAAGTTTCAGGCGCGAAAGTCGTCGTCCGAAATTTGGAATATATTTTTCGCCGGACGTTACATTATTCTTCTCATGGGTTTGTTTTCCATTTACACTGGCATCATCTACAATGACGTGTTCTCAAAGCCATTAAATATATTCGGGTCTAGTTGGTATATAACGTACAACGAAAGTACAATCATCAGCAATGAATTTCTTCAATTGAATCCGACTACCAAGGATTACTACCAAGTGCCTTATCCCTTTGGTGTGGATCCTGTTTGGATGCTAGCCGAGAACAAAATCATATTCTTGAATTCGTACAAAATGAAGCTGTCAATCATTTTCGGTGTCGTGCACATGATCTTTGGCGTGTGCATGAGTATCCCCAATATTATGTAAGTTTCTTGAAAAATACTCGTGTTTTGAGTCATTAAACGTGTTTTGGGTCATCTCGTCGTTAGAAAATTGAATTATTTTTATCTTCTTTTTTTTAATCAAAATTCATTTGTCAGATATTTATTTATTATTTTATTGATGATATATAACGTGACATATACGTTACATATAATAAATATATAATTACGTATATCAGTAATTAAAGTTAATATCAGTTACTCTGAATTTGCAAGTTTCCACTGTATTTTGCTTCAGAAAATTTCATATTTTTCGTAGAAATTAAGTTTTGCAGTATTTTCGTATCATGAATCGATAATTAGCATTTTTAGATGGTACGATATTAATAATGTTTTTATACTTCTCTATAGGCATTTTAAGAAATACTCGAGCTTGTTCCTCGAATTTTTGCCACAACTGATTTTCCTTATTGTGTTATTTTTCTACCTAGTATTGTTGATGTTCATTAAATGGGTCTTATACAATCCATTGTCAACAGGTAGGTGTCGTTCTCGAGTAATTTTCGTTTTGTCCAATTTTCGATTTAATTATGTCATTAACGATTTGTTACTGTGTTTTACAGTTCAGACGTATCAACCTTCGTGTGCACCATCAGTCTTAATTACGTTTATTAATATGATACTGATGAGCCAAACTAAAATGCCACCGGGATGTTCAGCGTATATGTTTGATGGTCAGCATGAATTACAGTTGGTTTGTTTCGTAGTTGCAGTGATATGCGTGCCCGTGATGCTTTTTGGGAAACCAATTCTTTTCCTAATAACGAATAGGAAAAAACAAAATGGAAAAGTTCTGGTAGGTATATATTGTGCAGCCAGCTTAACGAATGTTAATAGAAATAAAAATATGTTTGTTCATTTATTTATTCATTTGTGTATCATATTTATTTCATTTACCTGAGCTAGGCTTGGAAATAATTTACGATTTTCAAATAGTATATATATACATATATACAGAGTGTCCTAGCAACGGTAGTATAACCGGACAGAGGATAATTCTACGCGAAAAAAAAATCGTAAATAAAAAATAAAGTTTTTTGATTCGAAGCTTCGTTTTCGAGAAAATCGACTTTGAACATTCACCGAGTACACGTGCACTTAATTATCTTAGATAGATAGACGATCGATATATAAGTGTCGAAGGTATAATCGAGGAAGGGGTACTTTCCTTTGCATTCGACCGGCGACCTTTAATCACCATTTAATAAAATTTTGGAAACCAATATTAATTAATATATTAAATTTAACATAATGTAATAGTGTACGAGGTATTGGAATTAAATAATTCTACGTGTTAATTATACGATTTTCTATTTACTGTTCTAAAAAATATCATCGGCTTTATGGCAGAGAATCTTTGCAATTCTTCCGTGGTGAAAAAATCGGCGAATGCAAAGGGTTAAAGAAATCCTTTTTTAATTTTCACAATGATTGAAGAAATCTTTTTTTAATTTTCACAATTGTTCGTTTCATTTTTTGATGCGATACTCATCATTTCAGAGCAACGGAACACCGTCTCAAGACATCGAATTGCAAACTGCGGAGCTGCAAAATAACCCTTCTACCAGCGAAGCTACCGAAAGTCACGAAATGGATACGTTCGGTGAGGTTATGATACACCAAGGTATTCATACCATAGAATACGTCCTCTCAACGATATCTCACACTGCCTCTTACCTGCGTCTTTGGGCCTTGTCGCTGGCCCATGGACAGCTTTCCGAAGTTCTGTGGACGATGGTGTTGAGAAAAGGCTTAGGTGCCACTGAGAATAATTATATACAGGCTGTCTTTTTATTCGTCACCTTCGCCGCCTGGGCCTTCTTCACCATTGCCATCCTCGTGATGATGGAAGGGCTTTCAGCCTTCCTTCATACACTCCGACTCCATTGGTATGTACAGCAAAATTCATACATAGATGTTAATTCTTCGTCGACGTTTAACGCTAAACCTGCCAAGACCATAATAACTGATTTCTAAAACTTCCGATATACGTGTAATCCATTTTCCGATATCTCTCGTTATTCCATTTTGTTAAGTTTCTATTTCGTTTAGTGTTAAGAAATAAATTGCATTTTATTATATACAAGATGTTGCATTGTATGTGGGAAATACGAGAGGAATAGATTTGGAACATTAAGATAAGAAAGAAGGTCGTAAGTTAGAAGTATTGAAATCGTTGCACATATGGGTCATGTATACCCGGTATCCCAGCAAAGATAGTACAACCGGGAAGGTATGATTCTACGTGAAAAAATAAATCGAAAATGAAGAATAAAATTTTTTCATTCGAAGCTTCGAGGAAATCGACGTTGAATATTGACTGTGTACACGTGCACTTAACTTCGGCTAAGGCAGATGTATACTAATCATTAGTATACTAGGCGCACTCGGTGAATTTTCAAAGTCGATTTCCTTGAAAAAATTTTATTCTTTATTTTTTATTTATTTTGTCACGTAGAATCACCCCTTTCCGGTTATACTACCGTTGCTGGAACACTCTGCATATACGAATTTAAATTTATTAGTACAATAATAGACTATATAATATTTGTAGCTAAGTTGTTTCTAATACCTTTGAAGTTATAGGTATTTCTTTCGACCTTCCTAATTATGTTTCCTCTCTCAGCTTTTATTTTAAATATATATGTACAATTTGAAGAGACGAAGAAGAGAAAAGAAAAGAATCTACAAGTTTCCTCGTTCATTTTTCATTTTCGTTTCTAGGGTGGAATTCATGAGCAAATTCTACGATGGCCAAGGTTATCCCTTTCAACCATTTTGTTTCAAAACTATCTTCGATGCCGAAGACTCCGAAGACTAGACCGCTGCCGTGGTCCTCAGCAATAACTACGATTAGCTATATTTATCGTGTATAAACCAAAAGACTTGTTTTCATTTTACAATCAATTCGGCGATGTTAAGTGAAACACGTGGGAAAAGTTGTTTTAGGAAATTTTTGTGAAGTATCCTTATGGAATTTCTTAGTTTAACCGGATTGTGTTTAGGCGAAATATCGACTATCGCAGAGGCAATCTTTAATCGAAGATATTTGTATCGTTTCCTTCGAATCGCAAAGAAGATCGTATGACGACAGTATTTGATGTGTTTTGTATAAAATTACGAAAATTTATAGATACAATAAGCTTTTGACATCCTTTTCGGATATACTTCGTACAAAGATATCTTGCGCTTATGATCATCAATAGTCATCATTTATCGATTGCTTTCGAAACTTGCGTCGTATTGTTAAATACACACGTTCGGTCTACGTTTAAATGCCATACTCCAGCTGTATATTAAATTATTACGCGATAATTATTATACAGTGTTCCGATAGAAACGAAACATCAACTAATAATGAGGAACCTTCAATCGACCAATACGTTAACAGAATAGAAAGTTAATGGAATGTTGTCTTTTTAAATTGCAGGTCATAAGAGAAATATTTGTTGTTTAGTTAAATGTCAGTGTTCAATTGTTTTCCATTTATAACGAGTGATATTCATAAATTTATTATGAAACAAGAAAAACGTTACTTTCACACAGACGTCACCAGTCTTTTAACCCATTGCACTATAATTATTTTCCTAGTTTGTTCTCTGATTTAATCTCTGATTTAATTTTCCTAGTTTCAATATCACATTTTAGGTATAAAGTAATCGCTTGCAATTATTTAAAGTTTAATATTTTATTAACAAAACGATTGTTCATAAAGAATGTATAACGTCAAAAGACGAATATTTAATTCGTTGTTATTTATACCTTTTTAAAGTATGGTACTTTTTAAAATAATCTTCTACTTGTAAAAATGGCTTCCTGTCGCAAGTTTCACAAAAATAAACTGTTATTCACCTTCCACCTTTTATTTTTCGATTTGAACATACTAGGCAGTCATTATGTTTGCCTCGAGTATCTGTCATTGTAATTTACTATCTAACCGATTTTCGTGGTCCGACGGAAGTTTCGTGGCTTGTCGAAAATTCTCCACAAGTGACCTCGAGATAATTCAATGTGATTGCGTTTACTATCTTCTTGACATTTGACAAGGAACACTAATATTATTATGCCAAGAAGTGTATAATACGAGACTTTTACATACACATAATTTCAAAGCATTTTTTAAATAAAACTGCTTCCTACTAATTTATTTTATTAACTGTGCGAAATGTCACGCCAGAGGTGACCTCATAATGCAAAGGGTTAAAAGAGAAGATCTATCGTACTGATTGATCGTTAATAACAATATTATAAGTGATTTCCTATGATTTTTTTTCATTGATAAAGTAGAGAAAAATTGCGGATCAAATAAAATCGATAATTTTATAAAATTATGGATACCCAAATAATTATTTAGAATAGAAATTTATACGAATGTGTTGCATTAACTGAACATATCGTTGATCAGTACACGTCTCGTTCATTCCATTGTTCATTGTCAAAATATGACATTAAGGTTAAAAAATAACGATGAATATAATACGATATCAACGATATTATATCTGCATATTATTGTAAATGATCGTAAAAACTGAGAAAAAATACGTGAAATCTGAGAAGGATGGCGGGAATGTACATTCTATGTTACTAGAGTACAAATTGTTGAGAGTGATTGTGAAAAGTATTCATCCTGCAACTAATAAGCGTCGTTAGAGATGTATCCAATATAGGTATTAATATAATGTCTAAAAACAAAGCGATGCAAATATATATGACTATATTTTACCAATGTCGTGATGTTATGTTAATTTAACTCTTGCACACATTCTCTCAATTTCCAGCTGAAAAAGACTAGTTTCTCAAATGACGAATTAGTAATATAAATTATTCTTTCCAGCTGTGTATTATAATTTTTATTATAATGCTTCTTAAATAAATTTAAATATCTTGAAGGAAAATGTGATTTCGCACCAATTAAAAATTTATTATATACAGAGTGGTAATTGGTGGTATAATCGAGCAGAAATTAATTCTACATCTAAAAATAAGTCGAAAAGAAAGAATATAATTTTTTTGTTCGAGGCTTTATTTTCGAGAAAATAGCGGTTGGAGATTCGTGAAGTATGCATTCTTTTGTTTAACGAGGAGAGGGCAAGTCCTTCGGATCACCGATATAGTTGAAACTTTACAGATTTATAGATTTCGTCATCAAGTTCAAGAATATATGTCATTATGGCCGCAACTACTCAATAACTTTTTAGATATTTACGATTAAATTTTTATTACTTCTTTAATTACAGATTTATTTCCAATTGTTTTCAAGTGAAATCGTTGCCTAGCGGCGACAATCGAGAATTAGAATTGAAGGACCTCGATTCGATTCCCGTCTCCATAGTTGATAGTCTTTCTCAATTATTTTATATTCATTTTTCGCATATGAAAACATTGTAAATAAACAATTGTAAATAAAATTTCTTAATAAAAAAGTTTATTTTTTACGCTTTCTTATGGTAGTATACATTTGTTACAAAATAATAAAAATACTATGTAAGAAAAACAGTCTAATACGAAATATTCGAAAAATCAAATAAAAATAAATAGAAAGGAGCCAATAACATTTGAAAAGAGAAAAAACAATTAAAAGCTGAAAAAAGGAAAAATAATTAAAAGCTGAAATAAAAAAATAAATAATACCTGAAAACAAAATAAAAATTATGGTAAATATGTAGTTGAGCGTCTTTGCTCTAAACGCATCTTTCTTTCCGATTTTTTCATAAAAGATTTTATTTGTGCCTCAATAAGAAATATAGATCGGAGGGCTTGGAAAAGAAATGTGCTATTACTAGATTTTTAACAAAAAACATAAAATTGTCAAAAACTGCAGAATGCGTGAGTCGATCCCTATGATTTTTAAACATATTGTAGAGGACGAGATTCTGAACACCGTTTATCTGAACAACAATTGTAGCTTGGCTTTAATTTCCGAGATATTTGCAAAAATTCTTCACACTACCCCATTGGCTACTCCTGTACGTGTCCCGCGGACGAATCGGTTCGCTTACAAAAGTTCCCCCACTCGTTTTCTTCTAAAAACAAATCCCGGCGAGCGACAAAAACACATCGTGTCGATAGGCAAGCGAGCCATTATTACAGGTGATCAGTAAGTTGCCTGACGCCTAGGAAGATAGATACAATAAAGCTTGAACTTTGAAGTCCTGCAAACAATGGTGTGTACTCGCTGCGTCTGAAAAAATTCTTCATAAAGAAAAGAGAGTGGTTCGAATGAAAGCAGTGCGAAGAGTAAACGCATATTATGTCGAATCAAGAAACAGGAAAGGAGCAGCAAATGTATCAAGAGAGAGGATGTGTGCCATGAACATGCAAATATGAGAATCATTGACGAGATAGAGAATGAACACTTGGTAATAGCTATGAAAGATAAGGATAAATTAAATATAGAGTGTAAATGTCGCATTAAGATACAAGTGTATGGAAATGTTTATAGGAACTTGGAGACTATAAAAGCAACAGGAATAATGGGGCTGTGGCACGTGGAATTGATTGGGCCAGTGAAGCTAATGTTAAAAGGACATAAAGGTATGTCTTATCTGTTGATGATTATTTGAGAAAAGAACCATTTGGTTGACTGATTTACAAATGACTGAAGATTTAATATGGAATATTGACGATGGATTTTTTTTATTATAGGAAACTCACAAACATGAGTAATATTTATATGTAAGAGCCAGTCACTAAGGGTAATGTAGTAAGTATTAGTTAATAATGTTTCAATAGATTGTATATCTGTTTTTAAAAATTTAACCGATATACAATATTTACTTTCAAAATTTCTATATTAACATATTAAATAATTTCTAATTTGAATTGCAATAATAAATAATAAATTTTAATAAATTTGATTTTGAAAACATTGTACATGAATAAAACTAATATATTTGTTATAACTAGGTTGTAATGAAAACAACTGTTGGTGATATTGAGGCAGAATTATGGGTCAAAGAAACTCCGAAGACATGTAGAAATTTCATACAATTATGTATGGAAGGTTATTGGGGTAACAATATATTTCATACACAAGGTGGTGATCCTACAGATACAGGAGAAGATTGTAAAATATATTGAGAGCCATTTAAAGTGAGACCATATTTAAAAGTAAAATGAATTCGTTTTTTATTCAAAAATAATTATTAGATATATGTGTTTTAGGACGATTTTCGTACAAGATTATGTTCCTGTGGACGAGGTTTAATTGCTGGTGGCTATGCTGGAGAAGATGACAATGATTTCCAATTCTTATTTACTCTTGGTTCCACATTAGAATTGCATAATAAACATACAATCTTTTGTAAGGGTACTGGACAAACTATATATTACATGCCTAAACTTGCAGAAGCACTTGTAGGTGAGGTAAATTTAATGTTTACAAGGAAATACATCAAGAATTGATATAAATATAATATTACCTCTTTTTTGTAGAATGCTAGACCATTTTATCCTCCAAGATTGATAAAAATTATGATATTGAATAATCTATTTTCTGATATTATACCAAGAATAACAGTACAAGAAAGTGAAGAAGTAAAGGACAATTCAAAAACTAAGACAGCAGCAATAAAGTAAAAATCATATATGTTTGCAGAATTTAGCCCTGATAGTATTGTTCTTTGTAATGAAAAATATTGTTACAGAGATTTCAATATTTTATCATTTGGTGAAGGAGCAGTGGAGAATGAAGAAGAAACTGTGATATTAAATAAAAAGTTTAGTGATAGGTACAAATCAGCGCATGATCATTTAATTGATGAAAGTAACGACGAAGTAAAAACTAAGGAAGAGTTAGAAGTTATAAAGAAAGAGAAAAAGTTAGTGTTTACATTATAACTATGTTATAGAAAGTGGAATTTTTATTGACTTGTATTATATAATCTTATATTTATATTTTATAGCAATGAAGGAAAGGATAAAAAGTAAATTTCTATATATCATTGTTTATTATGTTGTTAACATTTAACGTTTATATGTGAAACTTTCGAAATGAATAGAAAATACTTTAGCATATAACTATTGCAGTTTTATTTTCTTTCTACCAACAACAAAGCCACTCATCTTCATCTGTGACTTCATGTTCGTCTATATTTAATTCATCAACTATAAAGATTGCATCGTAAAGGTACAGCCTTAGCGAGCTTTCTAATATAATTTTGGATGTGAATTGCTTGTTATTTCAATAATTATTCGTGATTATTGCATAGAGTGTTTGAATTATTGCCGTAGATACTAATGATTTATCTTTCCATTAGTATAGTGGAATAATTAATAATTCAAGTTCATGAATTAATAATAGAAATTTAGAATTTTTCGTAACAGAAATATATTTATATTTGCTTCATTGATATTAATAAATGTAAGAAACATCGTTTGATATTTCACATCGATACTTCAGCATATGGCTATTTCAAAGACGAAGCATCTTCCCGCGAAAACGACACACAGCTTTGCCCAATCGCAGAATACTTCTGGTCGAAGCGAATCCAACATGCCGGTAGCACTGATGGAATATTTACACGCATCAAAATAAAACTTTCAGTCC